AAATCGCGCATACTTTTGGAAGCAGAAAATTCAAAATCAAATTAATGTATACCTTTTATTAAAAAACTTGCTTTTTTTGCTAAATTTATAACCATACATATAAACATATATATATATATATATATATATATATATATATATATATATATATATATATATATATATATATATATATATATATATATATTAGGGTACTTGCTTTTGAGGAAATTTTTGAATTTCAATAAACGACCCCTTCAAATGTGGGACATTGGTGATAAAAATAACTTTGGAAAAAAATTAGCCTGACCTAACCTATATATATATATATATATATATATATATATATATATATATATTATATATATATATATATATATATATATATATATATATATATATATATATATATATATATATATATATAATATATATATATATATATATATATATATACCTGCATTTTTACCTGCTTTTGAGGAAATTTTTGAATTTCAATAAACGACCCCTTCAAATGTGGGACATTGGTGATAAAAATAACTTTGGAAAAAAATTAGCCTGATTGGACCACTCTTGAGCCTCCCCCAAAGCCCATTTATTAAAAAAAAAGGTTTGAAGGGCTAGGGGGAGGTGATAATATAAATAATTTTTACTGATTTTTTTTCATAATACAAGTATTGATCTATATTTTCAAATAAAAAGGGTAGTTAAGACAGATTATGACTATTTTTTCTGTTTTATTGTGTTAAAAAGTGTTAAAAAAGCGCAAAAAAAAAAGAATTATTTTGCCGCGAATAGGTATAATCAAATAATACAATTAAAAGTGTGTTATAAATCTTTAATTAATTAATAATTATTTAAAACAATATTAAAGTTTGTTTAAAAAATTTGGCTTTCAATTTTTTCTTTTCAATCATTTTTTCCTTTATAGAAAGTGAGTCGATCAACCTCTTTTTAGACAAGTCTGAAGATTTTCCCCCCGGCTTTTTTGTAGCCAATCTAGTTTCATCAACAGTAAGCAGTCTGTTCTGAATTTCTTCTTCTTCATTGTATCTGTGCACAAATTGTTGCATCATTCCTACTGCTCTTTTAGCCGGATCATTTACAACAACTAGAGATTTAGCAAAAGCTTTGAAGATTCTAAAGCTTGATTGTGTATACCAATACTGAGGCGGGAGGGTAAGCCAATCTCTAATCCTTTGTTTATCCAACCCAATTCTATCAAACATCAAGTAGAAGAACTGATCAACTAATAATGATAAACTTGGGGGATCATTGTAAACTCTCGTTTCAACCTTAATCTTGTTTTCCACGATTTGTTGTCGATTTTAAAATAATCAGAGTTCGGCATGTCTTATTGAAGCATAGCTGAAGCAATCTTACTTTTTTTTTTATTAGAAACGTCTTTATCCAACAAAGAAAGAGGTACAATTGTAGAATCTAGATACCAGGAATGTTTGTAAAATGATTTCAATACTGCTTCAATTGCGTCTGGTTTTGCACAAACATCTTTATATAGATGCATTTTGTGTATTGATAAAATATTTAGATATGGTGCTTTGATAGCTTTGTCAGATTGCAAATACCATTTTGCATAAAAGCATGCTATGAATTCCGCCATGATATTAATTTCTTCTAAAAGTAGTTTATCTTCTTGAACAAATTTAATTTGATTACAAAGCAATTGCAATTTTAGATAATAAATGGCATTGCCAAGGAACCTTGCATGGTGGACAGCACCTGGTTTTCTAATTTTTACACCACCAGGAGACAAATAAGCAACAACTAGCTCAGCTAGTTCTTTTCTATCGTCTCTTAAAGTGTTTTCATTTTTAATACATTCTTTGCAAAAATAAAGAGACTCAACTGCAGCACATTCGATCAGTTCCTTTTGTTTTCTCCCAAAATAATTGTGTAACATCATTTGTATCATAATGAAAATCAGGAGTTTCAAATATGTCTTTCAGTTTTTTAAATAAAAGATTATCTGGTCCAGATGTCTTTCTTTGTGTCACAACATTACAAAAGTGAACAATCTTCAGCTCTGATATGTGGTGTCTGCAAGCAAGAAATAATGGAAAGATATCTAGATTGTTTGCTATTCTAAAAAGGCAACCCTTTTTAGTTCCAGTATTACTGGAAGTTGTATCAAAGCAAAGCCCTCCAATATTTCCTTCGGTTTCATATTCTTTAAGGAGATTCATTATGCCTTTATACTGATCATCCCCTAAAGATAGAGAAGGTACTCCGAAGGTACTCCTAAGGTACTGGAAGAAGATAGAGAAGGTACTCCGAGAAGATAAACCTCTCCATCAATGTTTAAAAGAGCGGCTAATCTGTCATTTTTGAATCGCTTGCCTTTTTTTAACTCAAATAAGGTTTTACCATCAAAATGAATGATAGGCGGATATTTGGAGGCTTTTAAAGCAACTTTAATGTCATTTCTGGCTTGTTTACTTATTATTAGGTTCACCTTTTTCATTTGTGATGAAGCAGTTGAAATGCTGCAGTGTAATTTACCTACATCCACGCCAGCCTTATGAACAACAGAAGTGACAACTTTCTGGAGAACTGCAGGAGATATATCATTGATTGATGCTGCAAGAGCAACACTACCACTGTAAATATCTTTAGGAATTATGCACGTAATTGGTTTTTCTTTTTCTTTTCTCCTTGTCCAGTTTCCAGGTTCAAAGTCTAAATCATTCAACATTTCTGTATCATTTTCATCAAAATTTGGTTCCTGATCCAAATTTGCTGTAACTTCTAGAGTGCTGTGTTTTCTTTTGAATGTTTTCTTTCGAATACTCTCTCTAGATATTTGACTATATTTTTTCTCCTCGGTTCCGAGAAAAAACTTTCTATTGCTTTTTTGGTCATCTAAAAACTTCAAATCTTCAACTTTGTCTTTATCGAATCTTTTCTTGTCAATCATTATGGCATGTCTAAAATTCGGTGTACCAATCCAGAACACTTTCTTCATCTTCTGTATAAAATTATTTTGTTTTTTTAAAATCTGTAGGCGATCCTCTCTTTTCATGCTTTTTTAAACTGTAGTATTCTTTTTCTAGATTACCTAGATGCTTTCTAAGGGTTTTGTCAGAAACTATTGGAAATCCAGCTTTATTCCAAGAAGTTTTAATCAAAGATAATATGCACTTTCATTTTATTAGGCATGCAATATAGTATTGATAACTTTTTCGCATTTGTTTCCAATGTTGATTTCATGTGGTTAAAGTTTTTCAGTATCTCCATTCCAGTTAGAAGTTGTTTACCTTAATAATATAAAAAAAGTATTTATTTATGTTAATAATGTACATACTTCAATACTTGATTACTTATTTTAAAAGTACTTATTTTTTTTAAAAAAGATGTTAATATAAACCATAGTTTTATCTTTTTTTATAAAGTACACATGTGTGCATTAAATTATTCATAAAAAATAATGTTTGAATGCAAAATAAAGAGTATATAACCATCAATCGACATAATTACTTAATATCGCCTGATTAATTATATAATATCACCTGGTATAGCTGGATTAGCTTCTCCAATAATTCTCCAATAAGAAAAAAAACTTTTTTTCTTGACCTAAGCTCTATTTCTTCATCTCTTTTTTTAATTTCTTTAATGTTCATTATAAAACCTAAAACACCATAAGTCATAAAATATTATTAGTTAATTAATAGTACTTTCAAAAATAAATACTGAAAAAAAATTAGTAAGAAAAACAACTAGTTCAAACATACCTGTAAATTCAAGAAAACTGCAAATTCATAAGTTTCTCTCAATATCTGCAATAAAACATCGATAGGGTAACAAGTATTTTATTTTATTTATTATAATCTAAACAAGTATAATTGTTATGGTCCCACAAACATAATAGAGAAAATAAGTAAATGATAAAAAACAAAAAAGTGAAAAACAAAGCGTTTATTCATTCTTAAAATTCGCGGCAAAATAATTCTTTTTTTTTGCGCTTTTTTAACACTTTTTAATTCAATAAAACAGAAAAAATAGTCATAATCTGCCTTAACTACCCTTTTTATTTGAAAATATAGATCAATACCTGTATTATGAAAAAAAATCAGTTAAAACTATTTATATTATCACCTCCCCCTAGCCCTTCAAACATAGTCGTTTTTGGCGTTTTTTTGACCTTTTTTTTTTAATAAATGGGCTTTGGGGGAGGCTCAAGAGTGGTCCAATTAGGCTAATTTTTTTCCAAAGTTATTTTTATCACCAATGTCCCACATTTGAAGGGGCCGTTTATTGAAATTCAAAAATTTCCTCAAAAGCAAGTACCCAAATATATATATATATAAATATATATATATATATATATATATATATATATATATATATATATATATATATATATATATATATATATATATATATATATACAGGGCCGCCGCGTGGGGGGGGGTCACTGGGTACTTTTTACCTGGGCGCAGGATCATAAGGGGCGCTCAAATGATAATTTTTTTTTAAAAAAATCGATACACAGGGCTTCAATGAAAAACTTTTCAAACTGCTAATTTTAAAATATAAGTTTCAAATGTATTGTTAACTTAACAATACAGTATTAGTCGAACTCATATGCGGGAGTCTGAGTCTAGTCAAAATTGATGCGGGAAAATATTCGTAAGAGCTGCTTTGTTTATGAAGAACATATATATATATATATATATATATATATATATATATATATTATATATATATATATATATATATATATATATATATATATATATATATATATATATATATAGATATATATATAGATATATAATATATAATATATAATATATATATATATATATATATATAATATATATATATATATATATATATATGTATATATATATATATATATATATATATATATATATATATATATATATATATATATATATATATATATATATATATATATATATATATATAGATAGATAGATAGATAGATAGATAGATAGATAGATAAATAGATAGATAGATAGATAGATAGATAAATAAGGTTAAAGTACATTGTATAATTGAGATTCTTACATTTAATATAGTTTTACTAAGTATCATAAAAATAGTTTTCAATCAAATTCAAAACTTTCTTAAAAACAAAACATGTTCACTTTCAAGAAAAAAGATTCTGGCTGTCAAAACAGAAAAAATGCGGCAAATAGGACAGCAAATGAGCAAAAAAATAAACGTACGCTCGAAGATTGTGGTATCCAAGTTAAAAAAAATGACGGGGATAGGCCTACAGTTTCCAGATTTATATCTATAAATTCCTCTCAATCACGTCAAGCTTTTGGAATAGTAAGTTCATTTATCTAAACATAACCTTCTTTTTTATATATCTTTTCTATTATACTATTATTATAAAAATCAAGATATTTTTGAATATTTTACTTTATTTTCTATAGGATAGCTTTGAAAACGATTCTTGTAAAATTTTGTTGAACTCAGAAGAACCACTTCCTCCTTCGAGTGGCACGTTGGCAATATTGGCAACAAGAGTTGAAAATGAAAACAATATTTTGGTAAAATTTGCTTCGCAAAGATTTTTTAATTATTTTTGTGAATTTGTGAAAATTATATACTTATTAAAATCTTTATTTAAATTATTAGCATAAAGATAAATTGGATGAGGCAATTACTGCAAAGGATCCTGCTTTGTGGGCTGAAAATATGTCCAAAGTAGAACGCGATGCAGTTGTTCTTCAGGGGCCCCCTAAAAATCCTTTATCTTTTCCGAGAGACTCAAACAAGATTAAGGTTCCTGAATCAGTTTTCCACGAAATAACTCGTAATGGGGAGAAAATAAACAGAGATTGACTTGTTTTGAGTGCAACTTCAAAATCATTTCTTTGCTTTCCGTGCTCACTTTTCGGAAGCAAACAAGCCTGCGGGGCTGGTAATAATTCACATCTTCTACGTTGGAATGGTGGCATCAATGGAAACTGGAGAAAGCTAGCTGAAAAAGTAAAAGGCCACCAAAACAATCCTCATCATCGAGACAATTACATTAAGTGGAAAACAGCGCTGGAAAGCTTGGGAAATCAATGTGGGATTGATTCAAGTTTAGAAAAATTGATAAGAAATGAGGCAGCCAGGTGGCGTGAAATTTTAAAGTGCATTTTAGATGTAATTCTCTTCTTAGTATCACGCAACCTTAGCTTCAGAGGTATATTTGTGAACATTAATTATTATATTTATGTTTACGTTATAATTTATTTTTACTATAATTAAACAGAAAGTCATGATTTATATGTGTAATTAAAATCGATATTTTAGGCTCATCAAAAATGATCGGTGATGACGATAACGGCAACTTTCTTGCAACTCTAGAGCTACTTGCAAAGCACAACAAGACTCTTCAGTTACATCTAGAAGAGGTTTCTCGCTGCCAACAAGAAGGTAAACAAATTATTGCGCATTATTTGGGTTGGAGTTCTCAAAATGAATTTATAAAAGAGTGCGGAAGAATCGTCTACGGTGCCATCATTAAAACGGCGCATATGGCAATTTACTATTCTATTCTTGTCGACGGAACGCCTGACGTCTCTCATACAGAGCAAATTGCATTTGTTCTCCGCTTTGTCTACTATGGTATTGATAAAAAATGGGTAGTTAAGGAGCGCTTTCTTGGGGTCGAAAGTCTCGATAAAAAGAAAGGTGTGGATATTGCTAAGCTAATTATAGATGTCTTAAATCAAAATGACATTGATTTGAAGAACTTTCGAGGTCAAGTATATGACAACGGTGCTAATATGTCTGGTGTGTACAAAGGAGTACAAGCGATCATTCTTCAGAGAAATCCTCAAGCTTTCTACATGCCATGCAGCACTCATAACCTTAATTTAGTTGGTGTTCATTCACTTGAATCTTCTGTAGAAATGAAGAACTATTTTGGTCGTATTCAGTTACTCTACAATCTTTTTAGTGGAAGCCCTATACGATAGAAAATCTTGACCGAGACAACTGGTTTGTCTCTACATCAAACTTCACAAACCCGATGGAGTGCACGCATTGAGGCTGTGAAGCCTTTGGTTAAGCGACCTAGAGAAATTCTTTTTTCTTTGCTTTTTCTTTTCGTGATCTTGATTTTACTGCTGATCTATTGATTGACGTAATATCTTTAGAGAAATGGATTCAGTCATTTGAGTTTATTATCATGACAACCTTCTGGTTCAAAGCGCTGCAAGCAATAAACTATGTCAGCGTGTCATTTCAATCAGAAAACATTACTTTAGATGATGAGATGAAACTTATGAAGATTCTTATTGAGGATCTTACTAGACTTAGATCTTCTTGGCCCGAATTAATTAATGAAGCACATTTAGTTGCCTCCGATCTAGCTAGTTATGGGTTTCAGTCAAAACTAGTTCAAAAAAGGACAAGAAAGAGGAAAACTTTTTACGAAGAAACAAGGAACGAAGTTCATTTCTTAGAAAACGATGAAAAACAGTTTGAGGTGAATGTATTCAACACCGCTCTCGAAACATTAATTCAACAAATAAAAGACAGATTTCAAGCTGCAGAAAAGACAACTAACAGTTTTTTCTTTTCTATGGCTCTCAGAATCTAATAGTAGGTCGAGTGAGGAAAAAGAAATTGAACAACCTAGCCTGGAGGAAAAATGTAAAACTTTGGCGCAAATGTATGTGAACGATGTAGATGAAGACAAACTTATTTTAGAGGTCCGTCATCTGGATACTCTAAAGCGTGCCAATCTTTTCGGTCCAAAAGAATATCTCACTTCAATGAAACTATTAAATGGAATTTATCAAAAAGGTCTAGAGTCTATCTTCGAATCAACATGCATTTTATTACGTATTTTTAACACAATTCCCGTTTCCATCGCCGAAGGAGAGCGGTCTTTCAGCAAGCTTGGTCTAGTCAAGACAACACTAAGATCTACAATGAGTCAAGACCGGCTTACCAATCTCTTAGTTATATCTATTGAGCACGATCTAGCAAAAAGTCTGTGCTACGACGAGGTCATTGAAAATTTTGCTTTAAATAAAGCACGGAGAGTCAAATTCTTATAAAGCATTTAAAATATCTATTACATTTAAAATTTACAGTTGCTCGCAATATAATAAAGTTAATTTGTCAACTTGTGCTTCTTTTTTTACCTTTTTTCAAACTTATTTAAAATATATATAGAAGCCTTCTCGACTGTATTTACCTTCTCGGCCTCTTAAAGTGAGTTTTAAAAAGTAAAACTTAGAAAAAAACTTAGCATTTGGACAGTATCTAAATTTTTTTTGATTAGGTCAATATGACAGGGCGCTAGATAAATTTTGACCCCAGGCGTCATAAAGGGACGCGGCGGGCCTATATATATATATATATATATATATATATATATATATATATATATATATATATATATATATATATATATATATATATATATATATATATATATATATATATATATATATATATATATATATATATATATATATATATATATATATATATATATATATATATATATATATATATATATATATATATATATATATATATATATATATATATAAATATATATATATATATATATAATATATATATATATATATATATATATATATATATATATATATATTTTGCAGACAAGCAATAATGTTTTGAGTTTTTTTTAAATAAAATACGAAAAAGTAGAGTTTTAAAAAGAAAACATTGCAAAGAGAATAAATAATTACAGAACCAAACAGCTACTATACCAAAGACGATATAAAAATTACTAAACTACAATTATAAGCTTGAACTTTATTAACTATTCTTTTTTTTTTGACGATCCCGAATTTCGGAGGCTAATCCCGGGATTTTAGGATGAACAATTTGTACGAAATTCCGGGATGCATATTTTGAAACCCTATACAGGCTCAGTATAGTCAGAAATATGAGCAATCTGATTCGCTAATTTTGAAAGAGAGGCAAGTGCGCTTTATTTTAAAATATATTTAAAATTTAAATAGATAGTGAAATAAATTTCATAGTAATGATAAACTAAGTTTATCAACACAAGTCTTGTGTTACTATCAACATAGAAAATTTGTTTTATTTTATTATTCTTTAAAATATTTAAAAGGTATCCTAATCTATTTGTAACAGAGAATTTTCGCTCGTAAAAATCTCAAAGTTTCAATAAAGTTTATCTTGGTGATGGAGGTTTTATCTGTTGTTAATTTAAAGAAATGGAAAAAAGTGTAATTCGAAAAGATCTTGTGCTGAATTTTATAATTATTATTATCCTTGTTGAATTTAATTATGTGTATACTAAAACTAACCTGTTTTTATATTTTAGTTTACATATTATATGAAGAATAAAGCCTTCTATGTTGGTTGAAAATTAATTATAGACCATTTAATTTACTACACTACAGATCTATAAATGTATTTCTGGCAAAATATGTTTTTGACCTTAAAGAATACTTAAATACAAAGTTTATATTCAGTTGTACAAGACTACTTGTGAAGTACTTTTGCATATAAAGATTATATGCAGTTTTACCAGACTGCTGATGAAGAACTTTATTTATAAATTGATTTATATCAACTATTGTTTGGAAGAGACTGATTTATTTTTTATTGCATAACTCTAATAAAACATCATCTTAAACCATTAAACACTTTTTAAAAATTTAGAAAAATTTTGGCAGGCTATATTAACTGTATGTATAAAATATTATTTGAAAATTTAACAACATAAGTGAAATTTATATGTTTGTCTACTCAACAGTAATTTTTTGTGCAGTTACATATAAACAATGAAATTAAAAGCTAGAAAAAGTATTGAAGTCAAATATGTTAACCAAATAAAAAAAAGAACAAAATCAGTTGTCATGCTATGATTATTTTTGTTATAATAAAATGTGTTTTGTATATATAAACTCTTGAAATATTTAACAAGATTTCTAAGTGTGTTTTTTGTCAAATGTAATGTCTATGTTCTATAAAGCATGGTCAATACAAAGTTTATATACAGTTGCACCAAACTAATGGTAACATACTTAATGTATGCAAAGTATAAATTTTCAGCTTTCAACTGAGGCAGAGGTTGTTCTAAGCTTGTTACTGCATCTTACACCGTCTTGTTAATTAGAAATAGTTAAACATTTAAATTTAAAAAAATAAAAAATTACAGATATTTTACCAAAATAGCTTACATATTCCATATAAATCTACAAACTCTGAAGAAGTTACTGTTTAACCTAAATATTGAGAAGGCTGACAAGACATACATCATTATTTTTCTTTACTTAACTTTAATAAACATTATCCTTAAACCTTCATACACTTTCTGAAAAATCAAAAAAGGTTTGGCAGGGTATTTTAACTTAAATATATAAATAGGATGAAAATTGTATATTAATAATCTATTGGAAAATTTAACAAAAAAAAGTGATATTTATTTTTCTGAACAGTTCTTTTGTTCAGTTACATTTAAGCGTTGATAATACAAGCTAACAAAGAGAATTGAAGTTAAACAATTTAACCAAATTAAAGTGAATAATGGCAATTATTGTAATAAAAAAAACTTGATCAAAACAAGTTTTTAAATTTGAAGAAGCAAGTTTTCAGTTAATTATAAATTAACAATATTACTTCAAGATAAAACGTAACACATCTCTATTTTTAAATTATTATACAAGAGGTATTCACAGAAATTCAAAAAAAGCACACTTGATTTTATTGGTTATTCCTAAGATTACATAATAAAACTATTAATAAAATTTGGAAATATGAAAGATAAATATTTCTGCCTTGAAAAATGAAAAATATGTTAATTTTTTTTAATTTTTCAGAGAAGACATTTTTTTTTCTTCAGGAGTATGTAATGTAAAATAAATTAATAGCATAATAAAAAAAATTTATCAATGTTTGTTGCTTTATATAATTTTATTTACCATCAGTTGCTATTAAAAAGTAAACGTTTTTTACCAATTATAGAATACAATAACCAATATTTTGTTCAGGTTAAAAGCTATATATCAACAAACATGTGCTTTATATGTATTTTCTTTTGAAATTGTTATAAACAACAACATGAACTTGTATTTTTGCAATTTTTCTTGTTTTTACCTTTTTACACTTAGCTCTGCTTAAAAGTGTGGTAAGTTAAGAGTTGTTTATTTTTGTAACCAGTTTACTATATCAA